AATCTCTTAATTTCTCTAAAAAGTTTCTGTATAAGATTTTTAATCGTTGTTTCGGGAAGCTACTAAAAAAAATCGACGAATTCAGTACAAGTCAATACTCGATACCGGAGTATTCTTATTTTTTTAAAAATCGTTAAATTATAGACAATTAAAAAAAACATTAACAAGGAAAACAAAATCAYAAATATTTGTTTATTTAATAGTGTTAATACCTATTATATATAAGTTTATTTTTCAAAATAAAATTTTTAACGATATTACTCGTGAAATCAAATTAATTGTTAGGATTTATGGTTTGACAGAATATAATTACAAGTGTAGGTATACTTACTTAATCTAACTGCAATTAATATTTAAGAGAAAACCTACATGTAGATTTTAATTAATTTWTATCTCATACTTTTCTTGATATTTGATTGTTATAAAATTTCTTTTTATAAGATTTCTTACTGAATATCTTATGGTTYGTGTGAATTTATTTATATACTATTGTTTTCTGTTTGAAATTTCATCGCTAGCATAATTTACGTCATTGCTAAACAGTTTTTTTTTAAGACAATGAAATAGGCAYCGATATCAAGTTAAAAAAGTATTTAATAATATATGCATTACATAATATACAAACAAGTGTACAAAATCTAAAACACCTATTATACAAAGTTAGCATAGATATTGAGCAGKTATATTAATTAAAAATAATTTGAACACTACYTAATTGTTTTTATTTTATTTTATATTATTTGTAACTATTAAAATAGATATATAATCTATACAGAACAGAAGGTACAACAAAAATATGTGAAGAGAATAAGAAAAAAAATGATATGATTAATATATAATATTATAATATAWATATAAATTGTATTTTAAACGTATACATCAGTGGAAATATTTAATTAATTATTGTAATTTAATAATATACTTATATGATTATTGAAATGTTTTGGAAGTTAATTTGAATATAATGTAATGAATGATTTATTGATTCAGGCATAATATGCTAATCCCTCCCAAAATGTCCTAAAATGCTTTTAAGCTTATTGAATAATATAATAATTTGGTGAAAATATGGGTCTTTCGTGTTCGAGTAAATTAACCCCTAGTGGGCTAACTCTATAYCACTACTAGGTATATACTAGTATTACTGAACTATAGAACATTTAGAACATTATGTAATCTAATCATTGAGGAATGAGGACGGTTTCTGTAGTATAGAATTCAGAAATACTGAATGCGAAATCATGAAAAGATCGGCTGTAGTTACTTAAAAACAAATCTTTAAAAATCTATACGCATACAATACGACGCTTATATATATAGCGAGAGTAACGCCATTTGGTAATGAAATACTGCAACCCCCGACCATTAACCCCCTCACCCCATCACCCACAAAAATGAAAAAATGTGTGATAGCATTAAGTTATAAGTTAGTCAATTTCAACCATGATGTTTATATAGATGTATCTAAATAAAATTATATTATTCTAAACATGATTTTAATTCAATGTATGTGCCTATTATTTTTAAATTATGACCAGACGTCCTTTCTTATGTTAATACGAGCAAGTATTATACTAGACAAGTTTTTAAATTCACTTAGACTATAACTACGCTTGAAAAATTAAAAGTTTTGTTTTGAAGTTGTCTTTGCTTTAATACAATTATTAGAAATAGTATATAAGTAGGTTCTACACACATAGTTCGTGAATAGTTATGTATGTGAATGATGTATATACCTCGTGTGAAAAAAAATGACGTGTGACGTTACAGCATGCGGAAAGTCTTCCCGCTGGTGTTGATATAATATTATTTTGCGTGCACCAAACAAAAACACGAAACGCGTCGGAGATGAGTTATCGGCTGCGGTGGCTGAACGTGAGCGGAACAACGACAACGACGAAGGTTTGACGAGCGCAAGAATACACGCGTACKGTCATGTCGGATGGACGACTGACGCGTCGGTCCGTTAAGGCGAACACCTGGCATTCGCCGCCTCCACCGTCGCAGCGACACACTCTCCCCCTTCACTACACAGCCGACAAGGATATTCGCAAGCTTACCGCCRCCGCCACCGCGAAACGAAAAATGGAAATTGATTTTCCGATTTTTAAATTTTTTCGAACATCGCGTCAAATTATTACAATAATTATATAATAATCGGTGGCATCGTCGTGAAACGATAAAGTAGGGACAGTTCATACATAGCTCATAATAGTCACTTGTAGGTAACCCTTAAATGTATTATTGTTTATCTATAAATGTAGTGATGAAGGCAATATAAGTTTATTTTCTGTAATACACTATATTATTACGGTCCTTGAAACTCAAAAGATTTATTTTTTTTCAGATAGTGAAACATGGGCTCTTTCATATATGTATATTTATAATAGGTACCTACTATTATATTTTATAAAAACATTCAGTGGAAATTTAAGAACAAAAAAATAGGGGACTGGACAATAAATAATAAATAATATGTATACAATAATTGTACCTATTGGCTATTATACATTATACATAAATCTAATAGTCATAAATACTATTTTTTTACGTAATATTTTTACGAATTGGAAAACCGTAAGTAAAACATATTGTAGGTATTAATGAAATAGTCATAATTATTAAGTTTTTAATAGTCAAAAGCTAAGTAAAAAGTAAAAAATTATAATTGAAATACACATTAAATGTGATTTTATGTTTTAAAATATATAATTCTAAAAACACCTAAGTTATAAATGTATTTAAAACTGTCAGTCAAAAATTAAATCTAATAATCTAATCAGAGTATGGTTCAAACTGAAAGGGAGTT